CATAAGAATGCTTGAAAAGTGGATCACACCTCAATGTTTTCAAGAAGGTTTAAGAATATACTTGAACAAGTTTAGTTATTCAAATGCCGAGTCCAATGATTTGTGGGATTGTTTAGATCAAGCATTCAAAGGGGAAGATAAAGTAGGAGATGTTATGAACCCATGGATTGAAAGAGAAGGATTTCCATATATTAAGGTTGAAGAGAATGGTTCATCAATTGTATTTAAACAAGAGAGGTTTACTGTTGGATATGATGCTGTTAATGAAGATCCATGGCCAATCCCTATTAATGTTAAGTGGTTAGATACTGATGTAATTGAAACTTATCTTATGAAGGAAAAGACAGTAGAAATACCAAAATATGATTCTAGTAGTCGAGAGGAGAAAGGTCGTTTTTACAAACTTAATATTGAAGGTTCAGGTTTTTATAGAGTTTTCTATTCAGATCATCATTTTAAAGAATTGTTTAAATTTAAAAATTCGTTGAATGCTAAAGACTTGTTGAATCTTGTTAATGATTTATGGGCATTTAGTTATAATGACTCAATTAGATTTCCCATATTCTTAAATGAAATTTTAAGATTTGAAGACGACTATAACGTTTTGTACTCAACTTTAATTAACTTCTTTAAGTTAATTTCATTGTTCTATGATGACAAAAACAAGAGAAGTGTTTTATATGAGAAAATTAATTATATTGTTGGTGATAAGCTTAAAAATTTTACATTGAGTAATGAAAATTGTGAGAAATTGAGTTTGAATGAACGACTTAAGATGGCATTATTTATTGAAGCCGGTATTGTAACAGAATCTTATGAGGTTAAAGACAAGAATATTCCATTTGAATTTAGAAAGTTCTTTTTTAAGTCACAGAAAGATGCTGAATTTGAGGCTATTTATGATTTTTATCAGACATCAACGACTCCTGGTCTTAAAGAAGCTGCTTTAGTTGGGCTTACTTCAACTAAAGATAAAGATAATTTCAAGAAGTTATGTAATGTTACTGTGATTCCCCCTCATGATTCGATTTACTTGTTTTCAGGTCTTGCTTCAAACATCAATTTTAGAAATGAAATAATGTCTTACTTTGTATTTAATTATTCGGTTATTAAAAATCATGTTAAAGAAGGAAATCTTTTGAGAGCTGCTGTTAAGTATGTATTAGGTAATTCATTGGATGAATCGCTAGAAGGACCTATTAAAGACTTTTTTAAGTCACATGCAGAAGACTCTGATATTAAATCGGCTGTTGATTATGCAAGTAGAAAGTATGAAATTAACAAGTCTTTAAGAAACAAGTACAAGAGTAGAAGTTTGGATTAATAAATTTTCTATTTTTTAATTATATTGTAAAGAAATAGTAAGACTTTGAGATTTCTTATTTCTTTACAAATTCAAATAAAGCAAATTTTCTATTTGATTTTTGTTGTGATTATTATTTTCAGGAATTTTAATTTTTAATGCAATTTTTAATTTATACTGAATTTTTAAATTTGTTTCTTTTAACAAACAAATATTTATAATTCTTATTTTTAAATATAGAACTTTAAATATTTCATTATTTATTAATTTTCAATTTAAATAGTTTATTTTGATTCAATTTTTTATTTTATTCTACACATAAAATATTATTGTATCACCAATACATTTGATGTTTATTAATGCTTATAGAAAAATTAATAAAATTTAATAAAAGATTATAATTTTGATATTTTTATAATTTTTGAAAATTTTTTTATGATGTAATTAAATTATTACTTTCATATTAATTTATAATCTCTATGTCAATAATCTTATT